TATATCTCACCCATCAAAGAGTAATTAGTTATTTACTTCTCTGCTACCCAATTTGGCAACCTCAAATCAAGTTTCAAAACTGATCATATTCTAGTTTCATGAAAAGGTATTATGTATCCCAGCTCAGAAAAAAGTTGAGCCATAAATCCGATTAGCATAAATTTGAATCTACACTTGCACATAACGAACTTTCAGCAATGTGCCTTTAAGTGAGCTTCTTAAAGATACAAGGCAATAGAAGGAACTGCACCTTTATCCTAATAAACAAGTTACCAGGTTGACTTCCCTGTCGCTTAATATTACCAGCTTCTGGTATACGTATTGTATCTCCAGAATCCACACCTAATCCATTTTATAGAAAAATACAAAGGAGTCAGCAAAATTAATGCCACAATCTTAAGCTGCATATTCTTTGTGACAGTCAAGTAGCCACCTATGCAGACAAAGGTTCCATCCTAGAACTAGTTTGATATTTCAAGCATCCATGCAAAATGCAGAAACTAAAAGTAGTACTTTCATAAAGATGGGTAAATTACCTAAAACTGTATTACTTACGAAGCATTGCATTAAAAAATGAGAAAAGGAAACGGGAAGGTAAAAATAAAAAAGAGAAAGAAATAACACTGCAAGATCTGAAAAACCAACCATAGGAGGGGAGAGAAAAAAAGAGCTATGAATATGATCTCAAAGCTATATGCTAAGCCATATGCGGAATTCCTGTGAAACCATTTCTTTATATGAACTGCTAAGAATCAAAGCTACCTCTCAAATCTTCTGAACTTGAAAAAGCTATTTGTCAAAGGAAAGCAGCTAATATCTACCTGCAGGAATTGTAACTTTAACTTCCTTAACACCTTCAACAACCCCTGATCCTTGGCATGACATACAGTATTCCTGGATCATATATGTAACACCATGTTAATTGTTAACATGATATACAAGTAAAAGAAAATTGTGGTTTTGCTGAAAATGAAAGTAGACCTTGATTATTCGTCCCAATCCTTTACAAGTGTTGCATGTTGATGTAAAAGGAGGAATTGTAACCTTGTTAAGAGTTAAAGAGTCAATACAGTATAATAAATAAAAGGTAACATGTATTCTCTTACAAAAGTGAACCCGATTGAGAGGATTTATAAACTCACTGTCCCTTTGCCTCTGCAAATTGGACAAACTTTAACTTTGGCATTTGGTGGATACCACACCCATCTGCATTAAGAAATAAACAAGGCATGAGAAAACTACATCTATAAAAACGGGAGGAAGAAATCCTTCAAAAAATGGAAAGTTTAGAGAATACATTTAACATAATGCTGTAAAATATTTACAGCAAGAATACGGAACAAATTTTGAACGAACATAAATTGAGAAGTAGAAAGGCATTAACGCATGTAATTTACTACATTTGTGCTGGTAAGATTCTTGAATGCGTCATAATTCAAACAATCTTTTTACTCTACTTACCGCAAGAATCACAAGGAACAGATGCATCAAAACATAGATTCTTTGTGCATCCTTTAGCAGCTTCAGAAAAAGAGAGCAAGAGCTCTGTCTAAAAAATTCCAGACATAACATATTATAACTTGAAGAAGTAAAGTATGAAACTAATAGAAAATTCAGGAGAGCAAATGTGTTGACCTGAATATCTGGTGAAATCTGATCCATCTCATCTTCAAATATCTACAGCAGATGAATTTGCAGCATTTTAGAAATCATGGCAAAAACTTTCATGAGCACAAGAACAGAAATACAGAATAAAAAAAATAGAAAAATACCTCAGAAAATATCTTGGAGAATGAATCAGAGAAGTTTTCCCGACGAGTATATATCTAAACCCTTGTCCACCACTTGTATTATAGAATCTAAACCCTTCAGCACCATCTGCCCCAAATTCCATGTCTTCTGAACCTCTAGAATACTTCTTCCTCAGAAAGGTTCAGAGAACTACAATTAGTTTAGAAAGCACAAACATTGAATTGCAGAGAATTCAAAAAGCCCCATCCGAGTAAGACTTGATGGCAACATTTGCCTGAGTAACAATAATAACAAACTGTACCAGAGCAGCACTTCTCTAGGGGGGAGCATAAAGGGGCAACAATGACAACAAACAGAAAAAAAGGGGGGTGTAAATTTTACCCTATCATATTCTCTCCTCTTCTCTGAATCTTGCAAAGTCTGCAACAATCAGAATAAAAGGATGAATGTAAATTTTTTAACAAGATTCTAATCTACAAACGTCTAGAATTACATTTCAGCATTCACCCTGTGGGGAAGGATAAAATTTTGAGGCTAATCAAAAACTACAAAATTACGAACCTCATAGCCATCGGTTATCTCTTGAAACTTCCTCTTTGCAGAAGGATTATTCTTATTTGCATCAGGATGGTACTTCTTAGCAAGCTGCACAACAAAAAGTTTTCTGCTAACTATTTCTACTTTCTATATGTTACAATAAAATCATGCCAAGGAATAATATTGGAACGGTAAAGTGAAAAATGTTATCGACTCACTGCATGATAGGCCCTTTTAATCTCATCTCGGGTAGCACTTTTTGGCACTCCAAGAATTTCATAGTAATCTTGTTTAGCAGAGCAGCATGACCCTATGAAATGCATTAACTTAAGAATTTTGAATTCATAACTATATATATGAAAAACATTGAATACTTCAGCTGAAAAACAAAACCTGTTGCATGGATATAACGCGCATTCAGTGGCATTCCAGTGGCAGTAAAATCAATAGGTTTCCCAACACCCAAACTGTAACTGTGCAAAGCTTATTCCAAAAAAAGAAGGATAAATTATTAAACGTAATTAAAAAATTAAGCTAATAGTCGGCTTTAGAAGAAACGAGCATTACCTCTTCCACGATTTAACGATTGGAATGTAGTGGAAAGTTTCCTAATCCCATCGACTCCATCAATCGCTGATTCTCCAGACCTGGTTGAAACACAATGCCGTCGACACTGCAAGTCAAAATTCCCAAAAAAAAGAAAAAAATTGCCAACAAATTGCAAAAAGAAAAGAATAATTATTCCCTGAATTAAATTGAAATCCAATTAAAAAAAGGTTGATTAGAATTAGGGTTGACAGCACTTACTAGCCTTAGCAAGTTGAATCTTCCCATTTTAGAGATGAAATGTTAGCTCAATATTAATCCTTGAACCAAATTTTTAAGGAAAATTAAAGCGAAAAAAGAGAAGAAACGATTGATGAAACTCTAGACGTCAAAGCGGATTAAAATAAATCAAACGGGTCGTGTTTCGGGTCGATTCGCCGGTTTGCAGGGCAAACGTCTACTTTCCAACTGGGGAAGATCAGGGTTTTATGGAAGGGTGGGGTTTAGGAACTTGTTTTACATTTTAGGCTTATGAGGGCCATCAAACGACAGCGTTTACGCCCATACTTCCACGTAATATATTTAGGTATCCTTCTCTCTGAACTTGAGAGCCAAGACAGAAACTCACAGGAATTACTGTAGTTCCGATATAAGTATATATTGAATTATTTGATTTAAATATTAAAATATTTTAAAAATTAGAATTTATTTTTATTCTTAAATTCTTTGAGTATTATTATTTTAAAATCAGAACCTTAATTGAATATCCAAATATGTAAAAAAATTAAATTAAATATCTGTAATCTGAATTATCATCTCTGAATATTTAAGTAAAATAAATTTCTGGTAAACAAAAAAAGTGAAAAGGATGAATTTTCTGGATAGGAAAATAGTGATTTATGGGGAGAAAGGAAGTTTTCCTTTTTCCTCCTCAAGGCAGTTTTTGAGGCCGCCAAGAATGTAGTAAGGGATTGTTTGGCTCGAGGAATGTGGAATTTTCATTAGAATGGAATCTACATTCTCGTTTGGTTGTCCGATAATCTCATTCCCAGTAATGTAAGATTATCAACAGTTGATTTTTTTGGGTATATTACCGGGAATGTAATTATCTCCCTTCCCTTAGGTATTGTTGGATTACCGGCGTTTTGGACTAAAATGCCCTTAATTTTTTTTTCAAAAATATCATTCTTCTGTCATTGAATAATAAAAATTCTACGAAAGTTAAATTACAAATTTATCCTTAAACTATTTTAGATTTACAAAAAGTCTATAATTAAAATTTTATATGAAGTTCAGGGGTTAAAAATTTTACCCTTTCATTAAACCTTTTTATATTTTCAATTTTGTAAAAAAATATATAAAATTTATGAATTTACATTTTTTAAAGAAAACATATAAATATCTTATAGTAATATTATAGTAGAATTCAACTTGTTAAAAAACAAATATATAATAAGGACAATTTGGTCAAATATACATTCCAATAATATTTTATTTCTTTAACCAAACACGGTAATCTTACATTCATGCTAAACCAACCAAACACAAAATACAACATTCCCATTAATCATATTCCCTGGTAATTTTTTATTCTCACTGGTAATCTTACATTCCGTGAACCAAACGCACCCTAAAGGTCATTCTTTTAACTCGTATATGAGAATATGTATCTAAACATGCCCGTGATGTGTTTGCAAGAATGCTTGTAAGAGTTCAGATAAATTTGATAAGAATATCATCTTTAGGGCTAGTTTAGGGCCTAACCACCACGGCGCTTGTAAAACCTTTAACATTAGACTCACATGCAGACATTGGAATGATGTAATTTCAAGGCATCCATATTATCCATCCCATTTAAAGATGGTAACATTAGATCAGAGTGTTGAGGAAAGATTGGATCCAATTTGTGGCAAATTGGTGCGGAATATTTAGCTGGCTCACAGGCATTGTAATCGATTCATAAAACCATCGAGTAAAAACTATTGTTCTCACCAACAAATGTCCGGTAATGGCAAGTCAAATTACACTTCTGAACGGAGGACCCAGGATTGAAGCTTAGAGGAGGGAGAACCCCGAATATGAACCATAAAATTAACAGCAAACAACATAACAAAATTTTGGAACCATTTTGTCCGAGTCAATTACAACTGACAAAGCCATGAAGAGAACGAGAATGTTACGTAACTACAGTCAGGCATCATTTTCAATTACCGATCATGTACTCTGCGTTCTCATAAACAAACTTCATCTTCTGGACAACTTGGACCACATGTAAACAACAAAAAAACAAAACAGTGCAAAAAGAACCACATGAATAATATGATTGGAGCCATTCTTGACTATGCTTCTGTTCAGTCTCCTGATGTTGTTCTTCACCCCTGCTTGAGCTTTAATCATGGTCATTTGCTGTGATAAAATGACATTCCAAATTCAGAAAGCAGGTTAAAAAAAAGGCATTTTCCAAATATAGATAGAAAAACTATTGAGATCAGATGTAATAACGCCAGCAGTATCTCATGCAGAAAATAGGCATTGGATCAATAAATTAATAGAATTCATTTTGCATGCATGTATGTACATGATCTTTAAAGCAAGAATCAGATAGAGATTTTCTGTAGAACATCAAAGGCTTTACTATAAAGAACAACACCCCGTTTTATTTTGCATTTAGCCACCGCCAACCTGGTGGCTAACAGATTTTGCCTCTTTGTCTACCAGAAAATAGAAAGTGATGTAATGCACCATCGTCAAGGTTGCAAAACACTGGATGTTAGAACCCTTATATTGTCTAAGAAACAAAAATATGTGTGTGTGTGTTTGGATGTAATAAACTCTAAAAAATAGTCTGATTTATCTGAAAAAACTCAAGTTTTGTGTTTGGATATAATAAACTCTAAAAAATAGTCTGATTTATCTGAAAAAATGCAAGTTTTCTTTTTCCTTTTTATGTTGATTGCCAAATATACATGATTTCCTTATGATCTCATATCTGTTGATGAATACTCAAACATTGAAAAGTTCAAAGTTGATACTGTCCTCGTTTTTACTAGTATATGTACAGATGTTGAGGCACTGTTGTCTGGCACTACGCCTTAACAACACCGATGGAATGAGAATTATGGAACAAGGTACATAAAATTTTTACCGTAAATACAATGTGCTAGCATAAGACAAACATATTAATTGAAGAGCAGAACTGATGTGTCCTACCCATACAAACTCTCAAGAAAACCAGTTCTAATGAATATCTCAGTGAAAGACAAAAAAATATTTACCGCTTAGGAAAAGCACTAGTTAAGGTACTAGGATATGGGGGAAAGACACCATCTTCGAGAAAAGACACAAATCACATGAAAAATACACCTTCATAAGAAAGAATTAACATCATCCACTTTGTCCATTTATTTTCGAACATTTCCATAGTTCAAAATTTCATTCCCCCTCCATTTCACTTCACCATACAAGACCATGTTTCAATTTTGGGTTTGGTACTTTGGTTCCAGTCCATTACTTTTTACTCCATTATTATCGAATACATGCTTAATCACCATTTATAACAATGATTAAAACAAATCATGGATGGGCCCTACACATTTTAATAATTTTGATTCTGCTATTGGAAAGCAATGGGTGAAAAAGTATTGGACAGAATCCCAACCCTCCAATTTTATAGTAAACCACCTAATGTCTATCATAGAATAAAGTGGTGATTCCTCATATAGAAAGCAACAAAGTATCATAGAAAATAAAAGCACGCAAGAAACCATAAAGAGATTAAATTTTGAAGAAAGGGATGCATTTAGCAGTAACAATTACCAGCTGATCTAAAAAGTCCTCCTGAAATTTTGCTTCTGATCCAATCTCTTGAGCAACCTGCGCCATTATTTTTCAGTAAGGACCAAGACAGAAAACAAACTTTAAGATTGGCATGTTTCAGCCAGTTAAAGATACAGAACTAAACAAAAAGGATAAATGCACTGTTTGACCAACTCACAAGCTACAATTTGTGGCAAGGGTCAAGATATACATCCATGGAAAAATTAAAGATGCAACTTCAACAGAGAAAAGAGAAAACATATTAAATTCCATTAGAAGATAAATGCTAATAAGCCTGATTTTTCCTTATTTCAGAATGAGCTTTGAATTTTATCTACATTGGTCTACTTTACAATTTCCACAAAAAAATGAGTATAGACCAACGCAGAAACATTGACGTTATCATAACATCAACAAAGAACCGAGATCTATCCAAATACATGACAAGATTGCGTCTAACAAATTAAACCCTATTTAGCACAAATCCTTAAAGGCAAACAAACGAAGATGAAAATTCCACTGAAATTTTAAGTAAGATCTTGTTTAAATTTACCAGCGGCATATATTTCTTCCACAGAAAAAGGATAAAAACATATCAAAAGCAACGGTGAAATATCAATTTAGAAAATAATCAATAAATGTATAAAGTCTCACATTTCTCAATTGTTTAACATGGCTGCGGAGACTGGTGATCTCATCGTCCAGGTCTGCATGCATCGGATCGATCCGCAATTGTATTTCGTCGGAACTAACCACCGGCCTCGTGGTCAAACCCTCCCTGTCTCAATATTACCAACAATGAAAATCAGATCGGACAAACAAATTAAGAAACTAGAAATTCAGTTCCCTGATTACAAAATAATTGAAACAAAAGATTTTCAAGAAAAAGAAACAGAGAATGCAATTGAAGTGTTTAGACCTTGATCTGTAAGGGGCTGCATATCCGTACATGGAACCGCCGCCTATTCGGCTCGAAGTAGACGCCATTAAAACGAAAGAGAAAATGATCTACTTGCAGCAACAAGATAAGTCCGAGTCAAACTAAACTGAAAATAAATAAATAAGAAGTTTTTCTATCTTTTAAAAGAAGAGAATAAAATAATTGGCACGAAGGAAAGTTTTGGAGAGTTCAGGGAATCTAGTTTTATTTCCGATGTATGTTTCTTGGGAAACTCTCACGCGTGTGTGACAGTTCACATGCTCTTAAATAAATATGTTATTGATTTTGTTTTTATATTTTTTAATATTTTTGATAAAAATTTATCAAAAATATTATTATTTATATCGATTATTATTATTTATCGTTTTATTGGTTTTGTTAATATATCTGATAAAGCGTTATTTAAAATATTATTTTTTATTGATTTTGTTATTATTGTATATTTTACCGGAAATGTTAAAAAACATTAATGTTTTAGGTAGAAATAATAATGTTTTAGGTAATTTTTTATCAGAACTGTTAAAAAATAATAACAAAACCGATAATACATTTTCTTAATCGTATATTAAAACTACCACACGCTACAATTTTCCATGTTTCTTTATAGTTGATGACGAATGATGTTGAGAGGAGACGAATCTACCGTTGGATAGCAATCGTGCGGCAATAATTTTCATGTCTATTAAACAAGGTAAATAATAAAAATATATATATTAAAAAAGCTTACTGGTATCTAAGGCCCTCAACTTTTCTATAAATATCAATGTAACCTTTAAACTTTTTCTGGACTCCATGTAGCCCTTAAAATAAAATAAAAAACAATTTGACCATTTTACCTACGAAATTGAATGTTGACCATTACAATGCTAATGTAACTATTGATAGCATTGACGTGATTGTTCACAACATTGATATGATTGTTCACAATAAATAATGATGTGATAGAGGAGATAAATTAGATTTTTTTTAATTTGAGGTCGAAATTGCTTTTTTAAAAATTAAATTATTTTAAATTTAAAATGTTTAATGTTTAAAAAATAAATATTTAAAATAAAAATTAATTATTAAAAATTTAAAAAGAAACTATAAAATGATAAATTATTAAAATAAATATTTAAATCAACAACAACAACAACAAAACCCAATTCTCATATGCAATGGGGTAAGGGGGAGGTAGGGTAGTAGGCTGCCCCCAACGCCAGATTGAGAGTAGCTTCCGTGGAAGACCTCCGACAGTAAAAAAAATTAAAAATATAGATAAAATGCAATGCATGTATAAATAAATACGTAAATACATAGTTGAACAGTATTCATATGCAGTCATTAATATCATATGCGCGTTTGTAATGGGCAGTAATCCCTGCAAATAAATCCCTGCGAAAAAATCTCTGCATATAGACAGAAACGTAAGACCCGACTAAATTTAAAAGTGAAGAGAATGTTACACAGAAGTCAACGATAGCAAGCCCAGTTCTAAGCCTTCACAAATACCAATAACAGAAACATATAAAAAGTAGAAGTCATGGAAATTACTACAAAGACATTAAAAGAAGACAGAGATGATACACCCTAGAGATGTGACCCACACTACTCGACTACCCTAGTCTTAAGTCTCCATACTTTCCTATCAGAGGCCATGTCCTCGGTAAGGGCTAAATCCATCAAATCAGATCTCAAGCAGTCTTCCCACTTCCGCCTTGGTCGTCCTCTCCTTCTAGCACCGTCGACTGTAATCGACTCTACCCTCCTGACCGCATCTGACGGTAGTCGCCTAAGGACATGCCCAAACCACCGTAGTCTTCCCTCCCTCAATTTTTTCGAAAATAGGCACCACCCCCAAGGACATCCTAATAGCAGAGTTTGTTGTCATATCCCACAGAGTCCTACCGCATGTCCATCGAAGAATTCTCATTTTGCGGCCTCTATCCTCCTTACATGATCCTTCTTGGTTGCCCAACATTCTGATCCATACAACAACGCTGGTCTTATTGCCATTCTATAAATTTTTCCCTTAAGTTTTAGAGGCACCTTCTTGTCACACAAAACTCCAGTAGCGGCCCTCCACTTTAGCCATCCCGCCTTTATACGGTATGTAACGTCATCATCTACACCCCCATCTTTATGTATCATAGACCCTAGGTACTTGAAATAATCCTTTGAGGGGAGAACGTGTCCTTCTATGCATACTTCTACATCTTCATCGTTTTGGTCCCCACTGAAGTTTGAACATAAATACTCTGTCTTTTCAATATTGATCATTAGACCTTTTTCTTCCAAAGCAGTCTTCCAGGTAGCCAGTCTACTATTCAACTCAGATTTTGTTTCAGCAACTAGGACAATGTCGTCAGCGAAAAGCATACACCATGGTACACCGTCTGGTGTCGCACAATAGATGTCGTCCATAATCAAGGCGAAGATGTAAGGGCTAAGAGCCGACCCCTGGTGGAGTCCGATTTCCACTGGGAATGCCTCGGTGTCGCCAACTGTAGTCCTGACGTGTGTAGTAGATCTACAATACATATCACGAATCTCCCGGATATAAGCAGTTGGGATCCGTCTCGTTTCCAAAGTCTTCCAGATCGTATCTCGGGGAACGCTATCATAAGCCTTCTCAAGGTCAATGAACGCCATGTGAAGATCTCTAGACTTTTCCCTATATTTCTCCATAAGTCTTCGAAGTAGATGAATCGCCTCCGTGGTAGACCTGCCTGGCATAAAGCCAAATTGGTTTTCCGAAACCCTAGTAACTTGTCTCAACCTAGCCTCTATCACCCTTTCCCATAGCTTCATGGTATGACTGAGTAGTTTAATACCTCTGTAGTTACCACAACGTTGGGGATCTCCTTTAAATAAATATTTAAATATATATAATATACATAATTTATACGTGTAACATAAAGACACAAATACAAACTAATCATATTCATATAGATGAATTAATAAAGTCAATGTGGTTTTAACTTTATATGCATATCAACCATCACCAGAAATGTCATATATTTTATTTTTGTTGGCTTTATCGATCAATCAGAGATCACCGGAAGGGGTAAAATTAGTTTTAAAAATTATTTGGTGTGGAAACAATAAAGATAGAAACTTTGCACAACAATTTATAGTGATTTAACTTCTTAATTAAGTCTACATCTACTACCTTAGCTCTACACTAAGGATTTTTTTTAATAAAACAATAATTTATTCTTACCTTTTATACGATAAGGTGTAACCTTTACAACTCTAATTATTCTAAGGCTCAATTAGAATTTTTCCCCATAACAAAGGATGTTTTGTAAACAAGAAAACCTCTATGGGTAGATGTTTATGAGAATTTAGCTCAAAAAGAATTGATACAAAGATTTGCAATAAGACTCTATACACTTACGTACAAGAGAAAATGGATGAATTAATAATGAAAACTCTTTTCTCTTGACCTCTAAGCTTGGATAGGTGTAGTAATCTTATTCAAGTGTTCTTAACTTGTTTTTATATATTGGAATGAGTTTATAATTGTTTCTAGCCATTGACGTTGATTTCTAGCCATTGGGGACTTTAATTTTTGCAATATAAAACTATCAAGAAAATGGAGTATCGGTACTGCCATTAGGAGTTTGTACTTTCTTTGCTATATTTTAAAATCTAGTCGTTGGGGTTGGACAGTTTTGATACTAGGATTTGTAGTATCGATATTACTATATAAAGTAATATCGATATTCCTACAGTATCGGTACCAAACTTGCACTATAGAATTTGAACAACTTTGATATCGAATTGTAGTATCGGTACTATCAAGAAAGTATTTATACTTCTCTTACTTATGGTATCGGTGCCACAAGAACAATATTAATATTGTTCATGCAGTATCGATATTGTAAGAACAATATCGGCAATACTTACCCATAAAAGCATTTTGTGTTCAATTCTTGTTTTATTGACTTTAAATTATTCTTGAAAACTTTGAACAAATTCAATTAAATCCAAAAATATTTTGCTCTTATTTGTTATATCAAAATATATGTTCAACAATCATATATATATGCATACTAAATCTCATTACATTATTATACAATTATATCGTCAACACTTATACAAATTATTCTTACTGATTTCATCAAGATTTACTATTTTTTTAAAAAATAGTTAAAAAACATCATAAGTTATTTATATCAATACACAAATTTAATCGTATTTTAGACTTGATAGATGACCTTAACAGGCTTCAAAATTAACGATATTATGTTCGTTCTCAAACACAAATTAGCACCCCCCACAAGCGCCAAAAAATTGGTACCTAGTTTATCACCCTATATTTAAAATCACAAATTTTGAGTTTGATCTTTGTTTAATTTAAAAATCATTAAGGATGCAAAGTTGAAAAGAGTATTAGTTTATTAAGGCCGATAGCATTCACTCCCGAGTGTAAATACGAAAGATCAACTATTGTGCCTAATAACCAAATATTGCCTCGCTTTTAGAAAACATGATGCGGTTTTAAAAAGGATATTGACTTATTTTAAGAATCACCAGTAGTCACTCCCTGAGCATACTTGCGGGAGATATACCATTAATTCCCTAATAACTGAACATTGCCTTAAATTTAAAAATAAAATGCAATCACACAAAATTTTATTTATCTTAATTAAAGTAAAAGTAAATTAAGGCTTTTTCTAGCTTAAATTGTCAAATTATGAAAATTAAGGAACCTAGGGGCTCACACCTAAATGTAAGCTCTAATATTAATCCTATTTGATTATGTAAATATTAAAGCTATAATTAATCTTGGGGACTGAATAGTCAAAGGATTAAAGTATGACTATGAGACCTAAATATAATATCCTAAAACTTATGGATCTAAATTGCATAAAATAAAATAACAATTACTAAAATGTAAGAAAATAAAAGTTAGTATTTAAATATGAAATAAATAGTGACCAAAATGCAAAAATTAAAATAACAGTAGCTAAATTATGACGAATAAAATAGCAAAAATAATGACCAAATCGAAAGCTATTAAAATCCATATGTATATTCGAAATACATAAAAAGTATATGACCAGAGTGCAAAAAAAACTAAAACACGAGGATCTTAAAGATGATT